TATATATATACACATGTGTACATCTGTATGTGTGTTTGAGAATCACTGCCATCTTGTGAGTTAAGTTATCTTTCACACATTAGGTGCTCTTTTAGGTAGTATCTTAGATCAATGGGGACTAAAATTAATTTGGGGTCTCTTTATATAGACATGAAGCAGCATCTCAGAGTCCAGTTCAGCACCTCCTGTCTCAGTTTGGTAGTGTGGACAGGGGTAATGTTTATCAACTGGTGTATACCAAAACTAAATGTGTGTTGCTTTCTTCTTTTACACACCTTTATGCTGGAAAACAGCGTCCACACGGATGCCAAGTCCTGGGAAGCGCTTCACTATCCTCTGTGGGAACCCTCTGTCCATGGCTTGCACCGTCTCATCATACCTGCATGAGAAGATTCCAAAGGCTTGATGTCTGTTTGGTGAACTTAATCTTTCTGCTGCTCAGTTTAGTGTCAAGCAGGTCATGAGGACTGGCAGAAGAAATCATCTAATAGGACCAATGATAAAAACATGGCAAAGATTGTTTGAATAATCGCGTGTGTGTGTATGCGCGTGCGCGGGTGCATACACAAAATTGCAAATGTGCATGCACATACGCTGCCATACCCAAGTTTTGACCTAAGTCCTGGGAATTGAACTTAGGTTCTTACGTTTGTAAAGTAAGTGCTTTGTTGACTGAACCATCTCCCCATCCCCCACTTACCATCTCTTAGAAACAGTAAGAACAATGCTAGGGGGCTAAGATATAGTTTTGTAGACAAGAACTGTAAACCACCACCACCACCACTGACAAAACCATCGAAGAAAAGGGCCACCATCTGTTAGAGTAGTTCTCCCTGAAGAATTCTTAGAGCAAATGCAGGCTCACTTTGTACCTCTTCTAGATTCTTATTGGCTATACTTCTGTCATTGAGAATTTGGTTCGCATTGATCATTATTTTTCTTATTTTTTAAAATATTTATTTATTTACTTATTATGTATACAATATTCTGTCTGTGCGTATGCCTGCAGGCCAGAAGAGGGCACCAGACATTATTACAGATGGTTGTGAGCCACCATGTGGTTGCTGGGAATTAAACTCAGGACCTTTGGAAGAGCAGGCAATGCTCTTAACCACTGAGTCATCTCTCCAGCCCTATTTTTCTTATTTTTATGTAAACTGGAGGGAGATTATCATCCAAACATCTTACTTTGGTAAATACCACACACCAGAGATTGCCCTCAATGTGATCCACCATGAGACTACAGATTTATTTTGGTTTTGTCTATGTGGGGTGGTACTGTGGCTGATGACTTCCTCCGAGTCACATAAAAGGGTTGTCAGTTACCTCCAGCACCAGATGCCCACAAAAAAGAAGGTCTTTTTTGTTTCGTGGTCACAGACAGCTGCATCAATTTTCTTCACACGTCTTGGGAACCCGAGTGTGTGGATGGATTTGGGGTAATCAGGCAAAATAGCATACCCCCTGATCACCCAGAAGTTCTCATCTAGAGAGAGAAAGGGGTATCTTCAGATGTCTTCTGCTCTGTGTCTTGCAGGGAAAAAGAGATGAGAAGACTTGGGAACTTTGGAAATAACTGGATGTCTAGTTCCTCAGCTCCAAGCCTGGTTATCTCATGCTTCCATTGATCTGTTTTCTTGTTCTATTTAGTTTTATTTGCTAAATATGACAGTCATATAAAAGGGAATATAGAAGTGAGATAGACTGTCTTCTTTATTTGGAAGAAAAAGAATGGACTTCTATACTTTTTGTAAACCAGTACTATTTTTGTGTATGGATGCTTTGTCTGCATGTGTGCCACTGCAGTGTGTGAGCCTGGTCCCCGTGGTCTTAGTTACAGCATTTATTGCTGTGAAGAGACACCATGACCACAGTAACTCTTATATAAGAAAAACATTTAATTGGGTGGCGTACAGTTTCAGAGATTCAGTCCACTATCATCATGGTAGACATGGTGGCATGCAGGCAGGCATGGTCCTGGAGAATCGGCTGAGAGCTATAAATGTTGATTCATGGGCAACAGGACATGAACTCTCTGCCACACTGAGAGTAGCTTGAGCAAAAGAGACCTCAAAGCCCACCGCCACGGTGGCACACTTCCTCCAACAAAGCCACACCTACTCAAACAAAACCACACTTCCTAATAGTGCCACTACCTTTGGGGGTCATTTCCTTTCAAACCACTGCACTCTTGGAGGCCAGAAGAGGTCATTGGATCCCTTAGGACTATTGTAAACTGTGGTGTGGATGTGGGACGTCGAACCCGGGACCTGTGGAAGAACAGCCAGCTCTCTTAACTGCTGACCAGCTCTGGACTGTCACAGTTTTTATCATATGTATTTCTTTCAGTGAATTGTCATAGCCATAGAGAGAGCCTAGTTTATCATTACTTATGACAGGAATGTAAATTAGGGGAAAAGCTCTGCCATTCAGCTTATGATGAGGATTGTATTTGACTGAAATACCCATTGTCCTGTTTAGGAAAGAGGAAAAACAGCCAGGCAAGTTTACCTTTGAACACAAGAATCTGATCTCTGGGGCTTTCATAGGCAGCTTGAAGGTCAGCTGGCAGAGATGGCCAGAAGGAAGCAATTGACTCAAATTCCACATCAGCAATATCAGAGTAAGTCCTCCATAAGTGCCTGGGGAAATGCAAAACACTTCACAGATGTCCCAGTGTCTGAGTGCATCAGCAGGTGGCAGTCTGCTGTTTGTCTTTTCTGTGGCACTTGTGTGCAGGTGCGGTATGCATGCATGTGTGTACGCCTCTTACGTATGTGGGGCACACATGTGACTGGTGTTTTATGCCTGTGTGCGGAGGCTGCAGGGTATCTTCTTTAATTGTTTTCCACTTCACTTATTGAGGAAGAATCTCTTGCTATGGTGTGCTGACATGCTTAGCAGCAGGCTCTCCAGGCGGGTGGGAGACATGGATGTAAGTAGATGCAGATTCCCAGGGTATAAGTACTCCCACAGATATGAACTGATGTGTAAAGGTCCCCAACGTTTAACAGCAGCTTTCTAAAATCAGCTGTACATTGACTTTGAGACAATCTTCAGATCAATGTTCATTTTAGCCAAGAAGCTCTAGCAAGTTAAATTTGCTTAAAATACTTCAAATTAATTTTCCAAATAAGTATGAGATGTATGCATATAATAAAACATATGAATAGTATGTGCACTGTCAAATGTGAAGCACGTGCGATCTTACAGAGAGCAGGACTTCCAGTTTACCTCCAGGTTCCTTTGAAAAGAGGGGTCCTCATAAGAAGGTGGGTTGTCAAGGGGATAGGTTTACCTGCCTTTAAAGAACATCACTTCTCTGCGGAAGGTAGTGATAGCATCCATAGTTAAGCCAGGGTCTGTACAGCCGTGGGGCTCAGTGGCTTTCTTTGGCTTAGTGGGTGTCTTGGGTGGACTTCCTTCAGGGAGAAAAGAAAGACTATCGTGGGTTCAGAAGTCACAGGAACTGTGTCCACACCAGGCTCTTACCCAAGCCCAGGTTTACTTCATGATAATGTTTCAGGAAGCAACCATCTGCGTTTCCTCCTCCCTGAAAAGCATTCTGTTTAGTTACATACACATTTAGTTGCACGATGCTGCTCACCATAGATGGACTGGATCCCGTCAATATCATCCTGAGAAAGTAGGTGTTTGCTAGGGTCCAGAGAGACGTAATTGGGAAACATCAAGGCTGTTTGATCATTGGAGTGAGAGAGCCCCAGAGAGTGACCAAATTCATGAGCAGCCACAAGAAACAAGTTGAATCCTTTATAAAAACAGAAAACATGGCTGTGGGAATTGACCAAGAAATTGACCTCAGCGGGCAGAGACTGGAGAGCACTCACTCAGAGATGAGTAGTATTGCTTAGCTGGCAGGGTAGGACACACTTTTATTTCCAGGAACCAGGAGGCAGAGGCAGGCAGGTCTCTTTGAGTCCAAGGTTAACTTGGTCTACACATATTCCAGGCTAGCCAAGTTTACATGGTGAGATCCTGTCTCAAGAACAAAACAAAACAAATCAAAAACAAGTTGATAGTGTTATTTTAAGAAATGGACCAGCCAGTTTTGGGACTGCTTGGCTTTATACGATCATCTTACGTTCTTCTGTGGTCCTCCACCAACTGACTGCAAAAGCCCTAGCTTCTTCCTTTAGCCTAACAATCCAACCACAGACTCCTTTGCACAGCCCTTTGGCCTTATTTCCAGTCTCACTTTGATTTCTCATCTATTCTAAGTTCTTTTTTATTTTATTTATTTTAGATGGAGTCTCATGTACTGTTGAAATAGGAGTGGTGGGGCTTCGTCCCCAGCACCCCGGCCGCCTGCTAGCTCATGCCCGAAATAACAGCACACAAATTGTATTCTTTTAAACACTGCTTGCCCATTATATCTAGCCTCTTCTCGGCTAACTCTTGCACCTGGACTAGCCCATTTCTAATAATGCGTGTAAGCACCCCAAGGTGCGCTTACCGGGAAGATTCTAACCTATGTCCATCTTGGGTCGGAGCTTCATCGCCTGTGCCTCAGAGAGCAGAGCTATTGGGAGAGCGAGCATGGCTTCTCTGCTTCAGAGCAGAGCTGTCGAGTCTGACCTCACTTCCTTTTCCTCCCAGCATCCTATTCTGTTTACTCCTCCCACCTATGTTTTAACCTATCAGGGCCAAGGAGTTTCTTTATTGCTTAACCAATGAAATCAACAGATTGATATATGACACTCCCACATCAATGTACACCTGGTTGTAACTGAGGATGAACTTCAACTCCTAATTCCCCCACCCCCCAGCCTCTCCTTCCAGGTGTAGGATCACAGCCATGCACTACCACACCCAGTTTATTCAGTCCTGGGGGTTGAACTCAGAGCCATATGCACAGCTGGGAAAACCTTTTCCAACTGAGCTCTCCTGCCCAGTCCTGCATTCATTCCTCCTACTCGGCCAGTGTATGCTAGCACCTTCTCTCTACTCCAGAGGACTATAATACAGCAGGCAGGTGACAATTCCTCTGGAGCTTCCAGCCCATGCAGAGCTAAGTTGGATAGTTAAGCCAGGGTCTGTATTTATCCTCTTTTTTGGGAAAACCAACCTTTCTAAACTTGGACCACAACTCTGGTCTTTTTAATAGTTCACCTCACACGTTCTCTTTGGCAGCTAGCTTGAAGCAATGTGTAATATGGCAATTAACACTAATTATTGGTTAAGGATAGTCAGATGGTAAAACCTTCCACCTCTGGCTCTGGATGTGAAAGTGAAGCTTGCTGGAGAAAGGTTGCCAATCCCGAGTTTGATAAATGCTTAGGCTGCTTCTTATAACTGGCTGAGCACGTGTACACTGGCTTTGAACCAAGGTGAAAACCAGACAAATAGTGGTTGTTCCTTAGAAGAAGACAGACAGCAGACACACGTTCCCTCCACCTCTCAGTTCTGAGTGCAACAATCCTCCTCTGTCCCTTGTCTGTGATGCTAACTCATGTGGCAGGTCATGAACTCACCCCAGATTCCTCATGTTGCCTGAAGTGAAGCTAGTGCTGACTTCTTGACCTGTCTCACAGCACTGGAGGAAATAGCTTCACGTGCCCAGTGGAGGGAGTGGTCAGGCTTTGTAGAAATTAAACCGACACAGAGTATTGGGAGCTCAGAGTCTGGTGTGATCTGCAGCTTTGCCTGATGTCCATCAAGAAGGCCATGACTCTTACTCCATGGGACCTTGGAAGTCAGACCCTGAGCCCCAACTGTGGAGGCACTGACAGGGATAAAAGAATGGTAACAGCCAGAAGCTCTACTGCAGTCTACTCCTTTGCTCAATAGACACAGTGTCAGCACAGGGAAGTTGGGTGCTTTGTTTAAAAACTTAACAGTACACTGAGGCTGAGGGGATTGGTCAGGAGTTAAGAGCACTGGCTGCTCTCCGGAGAATCTGGATTCAATTCCTGCGACCCACAACTCTTGTTCCAGGCGATCTGATGTCCTCTGAAGGAATCATGCACACGTGTGTTGTATAAACATGTGGAAGAAAAATACTCATACACTGAAAACAACACAAAAACTGTCCAGTATAGTCAGGCCCATCAAAAAAATAAATAAATAAAACTAACATACTCTCTTTAAGGGACTAGATCAAACATAAGAACTGGGTCTAATCCTTTTGCATTTGGGGGGAGAGTAGCTAATAGAGAAGGGCTATGATATGGGATGTCCTTCTGTATATGTATTGTTTTTAATGGTTGATAAATAAAGCTGTTTGGGCCAATGGCTTAGCAGAGCAAAACCAGGTGGGAAATCTGAACAGAGAGATATATAGAGAAAGAGTAGGCGGAGCCAAGGGGATGCCATGTAGCTGCTGAAGAAGGACATGACGGAACCTTAGGAACCATACCGGTAGGCCATACCCTCATGGCAATATACACAGATAGATAGAAATGGGTTAATTTAAGATGTAAGAGCTAGGAATACATAGAGTCATTGGCCAAACAGTGTTGTAACTAATAAATTTTCTGTGTGATTATTTGGTTCTGGGTGACCAGGAAATGAACGAGCAGTCTCCTACTACAGGAATACACTTTCAAATTGGTTATTTATGGGCCATTTCCCCACACAGTATTCTTTAACCTTAGGATTGAAAGCACCAGCCCTCTTAAGTCTTGTGGCTGTCTTCAAGCTACTGGTGACTGCAGCCATTGGTTTAGGGTGCAGCCTGGGGTGCATATGGGTGTTAAGGAGCACGAATAGCTGCAAGGCTGGAAATTTTGAGCACACCTCTGGGGTTCATATAGCACACCTGGCATAGCTTTGTTTACACAGTGGAACAGCAGGCTCTGTGGCCATTCATAGTGCTATGTTAATGGGTGCACAGCTAAACAGCAAACACTGTTCTCACAACAGGACTGGTAACACCGTGAGTGCTCTGTTTGGACCAGACTACACGAGCACAATTATTATTAATAGTTGTTAATCACTTCACTAATGTGATCTGAGAATATAGAAAATTATGAGAGAAATTAGATTTGGATCCAAGAGGCAGCTAACCATAGAGATTATTAATGTAATTTTCTCATAGTGAAAATTAGACTCACCTTCCCCATCCTTGGCTGTCCAGTTTTCATCTTCATCAAAGTGAGTATCACCACCTAGACCCAAACCAGGAGGAAAGGCATGGCCAAGGACTCCCAAGGGACCATCAAAGTGACGAGGACACCAGCCATGGACTGAGATAGTTGATGGGGGAAGAGTTAGCGTCCTGAGATCTTAGAAATTGCCACATCCCCTCCCGTTGCAAGACTTACCTCCAGTCCTAAAGGCTATCATGATGTCTGCAACGCCCTTGGAAATCTTGGTGAACATCAGTGGAGTGACCTTGCTCCAAACATCTAGTGCTTTCTGAATAGCCTCATCCACATCGGCTCGTGTCATATCTGGAGTGTAGTTCATTATTCTGAAAAATAGGCAAAACTACAGCAATTACAGATATATACATTCTCAAATGATCCATCTATCATCTATATATCAAGTAGTGATCTATCTGTCTATCTATCTGTCTATCTATCTATCTATCTATCTATCTATCTATCTATCTATCTGTCATCTATCGATCTACCTACCTATTATCTATCTATCTTTCTTTTTTTCTTTCTATCTCACTTGTAGTTTACCAGTCACAGGCTGTAGTGACTTATATTATTCTTCTGTTATCTAACATTTGCTGCCACTTTATTTAAACAATGTAGTTTTATAAAACCTAACAGAGTTTCATTTCTCTTTCTTTAATAAAATACTTTGACCAAATGCAACTTACAGCAGAAAAGGGTTTGTTTGGCTTACACTTCCAGGTTACAGTTTTACAGTTCATCATTGAGGGACTCAGTCAGGAACCTGAAGCACCATGGAAGACAAAGTTTGTTGGCTCACTTCCGGGCTCATGCTTAGAGAGCTTTTCTCTTCTACTTATCTATCTTCTATCTATCTATCTATCTATCTATCTATCTATCTATCTATCTATCTATCTATCATCTATCTATCTATCATTTGTGTGGGTATGCCTGAGGGTTTGTATGTGCACTACATGTGTACAAAGGCATGCAGAAGTCAGAAGAGGGCATTGCATCCATTTGAACTGGGGTCACACACAGTCGACAGCAGTGCATGGTCTTGTGGACATTGGGAATTGAACCTGGGTCCTCAGTTAGAGCATAAAAGCTCTTAACTAATTAGTTATTCCTCTAGCCCCTTAGCTAGCTTTCTTTTTTATTTATTTTTTAGTCAATCTCTTTATACTAGGACCCACCCAAGATTTGAGATTTGGCAGCTTTAAAACACACACACATACATACATACATACACACACACACCACATACATATCTTACACACACACCACAAACATATACTTACAGATACACCACACACACACACCACATATACTACAAACATACATACACAGTTACATACCACACACACATCACAAATATACACACACACAGATACACCATGTACACCTATACACCACATATACACATCATACACAGATATAACACATACACGCACACACACATGCACACTCACATGCACACACAAGCAGTCATCCCATCTTTCTGTATACCTCATCTTGCCTCCAACACATTGTAGCAAACAGCAATGCTTCCTGTCCTGAGCTTAGGCTGGAGAAAAGAACCTAGAGATTAGAGTCTCTTTCCCTAAGCCTGTGTCCTCTGCAACAACCTTTGGATTTAGTTTCTCTGAGGTTAATGCAGCAGTATCAATACATCCCACAGCTTAGGTCTAACGTGGAGACAGCATACAGGGAACCCATAAAGTGGCATGCATTGTGAGATTAGTTAGAAAGCCATTGTGATGGTTGTTTCTTGAAGATTAATTGTTTGGGTTAGTTTATGTAAGTTGGTGGAGACATTACCTGTATGTGAGGTTGTGTTTTCTCCACCCAGGCAGGGTGTAACCATATTGTCCCACATCAGGAACCCCACACCTGGGCATCTTCATGATCTCAAGGGTGTCTGAGTCCAGCTCTCCGGTCACTGTCAATCCAAAAAATGCTTGCATTTCCCGAAGTTTGCTGTCTAAAAGACTCCCGTTCTTACTTTGGACAAGATGACTCCCTTCTATTTCAAGAGAGTAGAACTGGTTGAGATATGCCTGATCAAAATAAAAAAAAATAGACAAAAAGAGGACACAGGCTACAGAAAAGCAAATATTCTCAAACGAAACAAAGTGGCCTGAGTCTCCTCTGGCAGCAGGGAGGATAAAAAGGAAAAGATAGCAAGGGTAGAGTAGGGCAGGCTGCAAAGGGGAAGGGAGGCGTCGTGTTTTCCTTCAGGGCCAGCAATCATTGATTTACAGGGGAGTAGAGTTAGCTAAACCATACACATGCAGCCACACATGCAGCAACACTGCTTCTTCGGTGCCAACACAGCTTATGCATTTTTGCTATTCCTTTTATTTTGTAAACTTCAGGAGATATCAGGGGTGATTATCTATTCTGCAAACTTACATGATTTAACCAAAATATGATAAATTGATTGGCTTTCAGAAGGAATTGCTAAAGCCACATACTTTTCGACATATATACATTCATATACACACATCTATACGTGCATACACACATTTGTGTATCTCTCTTTGGACAAATACATACACAAGCACATATAGTTTATGTGCATAAAGGGTCCTAGATTATACATTTCTGCAGTTAGTTGTCCTGAAATGTTTTTATACAGATTTCTATCCTTGTAAACCATTCCTTTCTCCTCTCCTGTTGGCCCCTTAGTGACTACAGTTTGAAGGTGGAGCGAATTCAATCTCCTTCCCACTGCCCCTTCTCTTCACCTCAGACCAGTTCATGTCTTTAGAGTTAGATACATGGAAGGGACCACATTCTTCTGAGACCCTCTGGGACTCTGCAGGAATTTGCTATCTTGGAAGGTCCTGAGAGAAGGCATACATGGAACATTTTATTGTCAGTTACTAATAGCATGCATTGAGATCCTACCTGGGCCAGTTGATCAAGTCTGCCATTTGTGTCCTTGCGGTCTGGAGGAAATGCAGAAGAAAGTGCTATAAAATTCAATACCAAGGGCAGAAGGCCCTTCATTCCTGCTTCTCCAGTTAAAGCTTCTTCCTGTTTGCATGGGATATAGAAAGCTCACAGTGAGACGTGGCATGAACTATTCATTTAATTAATAACAGCAAAGGGCACTTGCCACGAAGTGTCCCGTGACTCCCTCCACCCTAGATAGACTGGGATGTTGCAATCAGAGTCTGTGATTGTTTATCCAGCAGATCTCTCACTTTTGAAATGAATATATTACATAGCAACGTGCCAAGTTGGCTTTCTCTTCTCAAAATTGATAGATTTCAGGATTGATTTTGAAATAATTTTTCTGCCTGGAAACATTAGCATATCTTTTGATATATGATGCAAAAAGACAGTTGCCAGGCCTCCTTAGCCTATTCCACAGGGAAAGGTGAGTGTGATATCTGCCCTTTCTGCAGCCCCATGATGACGATGCAGGACAATCAGACGTGATAGGGAGTCAAGTCAAAGTAGGAACTCAGTTTATTACTGTGAGCGTCAGCTTATATAGGTTAAGTGATGTGGGAGTCTTCTGTTTGTGTTGATTTCATTGGTTAATAAAAAAGCTGCCTTGACCCATTTGATAGGCCAGCTTTTGGGTGGGTGGAGTAGACAGAATAGAATGCTGGGAAGAAGGGAAGTGAGCAAGATGCCACACCTCTCCTCTCTGGTCAGACGCGATGAAGCTCCGGCCCAAGATGGACGTAGGCTAGAATCCTTCCTGGTAAGCTACTGCCTCGTGGTGCTACACAGATTATTAGAAATGGGTTAGTGGAGTTGTGAGAGTTAGCCAAGAAGAAGCTAGATATAATGGGCCAGGCAGTGTTTAAAAGAATACAATTTGTGTGCTGTTATTTCTGGGGCTAAGCTAACCGTGCAGGAGCTGCTGGGTGGGACAAAAAGCAGGCCTACCCGCAGCTCCATCTACAGTTAAGTGACAAGTGATGTGGGCGTACCTCCAGCCAATGAGAGACAGTCAACCCCTCCCTCTGGCTGGAGGGGCATCTGCCTAGATTTTGCTGTCTCATCCTCACATGGTAGCTTTGAGACTATCCTTCAAACTCGAGCCAGGGTTTTTCTCTGTCCTACAAGTCTTGAGGTACAGGCCCTGAGATAATTTTGGCCCAACAGACAATTGAGTCAGGAATTAGTTTAAGTAAAACACAACATCATGTGGTACGAAGCCGGCTTCTGCATGAGTTCTGGGGAGCCTAACCAAGATCTGCCTCTTGCACAGCAGATGCTCCACCCGCCCTTGTCTTCAGTTGTAAGGAGCACTATCTAGCTATCTTGGTAACTGTCTATTTATTATTATGTATTATAGTTTTGTATTTGAATGCTTTTGTAATATGTCTTTTTGAAGTCGATGATGTTAAACATTCTTTATTTTGATTTTTCTTTTTTTGACCGGGATTGTCTCTGATTTCTCAAACTGACTTGTTTGGCTTCTGTTTTTCACACTGCAAACTTTCTTAAAATGTTTGGTGAGTCTGTGATGTGCAACCTGTTTGGAATTTCCCGGAAACTCTTATATTCAAGAACAGACTGGAGAATTAGAAACCTTCCTTGCAGGAGGTGGCTGTGTCTCAGGCCTTCCATGTATTAATCAGAGTGAGATTTAGTTGAACACAACAGCAAAATTTAAAATAGCAGATGGTTAATAATTCTAAAATTTACATTTTCCTTGTGTAAGAACATCCTAGGTTTGATAATCTGTGGTTTCTCGGATGACTCCACGTTACCAGGGTCTGTGTGGTTTCTCAAGATCCAGCCACTGTACCTGCATTGCAGGCAGCGTAACATAAGGAAGGAAGGAAGGCAATTCTAATGTCCTTTGAGAAACACCACACAATATTTAGTTTACATATTCTGGGTAGGAATCAGGTTTACGCCACCTATCAGTAGGGAAGGTTGGCAAGTCTTGGTCATATGCAACACTGAAGTGGGCTGCAAAAGAAATGGAGACTATGGGGGCGGCCATGGCAAGGCTTCCATCTGTAGACCTACTTTTCTCCAGAATAGACTTCCCCAATTTCCCACCATTGCCTTCGCCTAGCAGCGAATCTGTAGAAGGCAACTTTGATGCCCTCTCTGCATTACTTCCCTTCAGTACACCTCTGATTTGTGCAACTCACCTTCTTGTGGCAAACCAAGTCTTTCTGCCCTTGGGATGACACGGAGTGGCCAGATCAGTTTGAAATACAGCTTACAAGTGTAGAAATTAAACACCTCCAGAAATAATCCTCTGTAAATAGAGGCTGAGAATGAGAACCTCTAGTATAAAGTAGTCTGTGGAATTCTCAGCAGGTCCTGATGGAGCCAAGGACCAGATGCTTGCAGCAGAAATCTTCATGACACACTGACACATGCTGTACCATACTGGCTTCCTCTCCTTTCCCTTTAACGCACAGGCTGCCTCCCCTGCTTCCTTCTGGAAAGATGCTACTTTCCCAAAGTAATTGCACCAAGGTCTTCCCTTAGGGGTTGCTTTTGAATAAACTCTACATAAACGCAGAAGAAACTCATAATGTAAAATCTAAGCTTAGCTCCTTGAGTCTCTTGTGCTCACTCAAATGTGACAGCTAGAAAAAGGCTGTGACTCTGAAATATGGCTAAAAAAAAAAACCCAGCAGAAACGGAGTTTCCATTTCAAAATGTAAATATGATGTTTGGGTCAGCAATCTGTCAAGACTAGTTCACAGAAGTAGTAGGTGTCAGGCAAAAATGAATCTTCTGCTTTTATATCTTTAAAAATTGTCATATCAGAAAGTTTTAGAAATAGGACATCTGACATTGACTGTGATTGACAGCCGGAGAGGCAGCTATGGGCACCTGACATTGACTGTGATTGACAGCAGAGGAGGCAGTTTATGTGTTTTCTGCACTTACTGGCTTGGCTTCTCAAAGGAAAGAAGGGGGAGAGGAAGTGAGCCTCTCCTCTGTCACTGCACCAGGAAGCACCTCGGAGTCCTCAGCAGGATGCTGAGAGGACCCTCTGTGTTGGATTCTTTTCTTAAGCGCAGATGTCAACAGACCTGAACTTTGATGATGGCACTTTTTTTTGTTATTGTTGTATTTTGTTTTTGTTTTTAAGCCTGCTACTAGGAATTGAACCTGGGACCTCATGTATGCTAGCCAAGTTCTCTACTACTCAGCAACATGCCCAGTGGTTTTAAGTGCTGATGCATTATGCTGGCTTCCTAGGGCTTCGCTATCTAACAAAGGAACACATATTCTGTAGAGCAGAAAAACAAATTTATTTATTTTTTTCACAAAATCCAGAAACCCCAAATTGGCAAATGCCTCAGTACCAGGATCTGCTTGCTGAAGAAAATGGTCCCTTCTTGGTCCCTCCTGCCTGCCACTGACTGGGGTGGTGCTGGCAAACAGCCTTCGGATGCATCTCTTTGCTCGGTCTCTTCCGATGAGTGCCTCTACCTCGGGTTATTCTCCCCCAAATCCCTCAGAATCAAACATGGTAGGCAAATGCTTTATCTCTGAGTTATATGTGCACCCCTCCATTTTCTATGAGGACACTTACGGACTTAGGGCTCATCCTAATCCTCGATAAAGCCGGCTTGTCTCTTACGTACCATTAATTCTATCTGCAAAGACTCCAGTTTCAGATAAACAGCTGGGGTGAAGATTTCTTTTTTTTTTTTTCTTGGCAAAAAGAAGGGCATGATTCTATCTGCAAGATATGATCTCACAAGGAAGGAAATAATAACTCATTTTCTATAAAGAAAAGGAATGATCTCTATGTTGTTTATAATCCTATGTATAATCAAAATTCATCACTAGATTCTATGTTTGAAGAGATTGAGGAATACTGGGAGTCAGGTAAGAAAGCAGTAAAACACGAGGCTCGGGAGGAAAAGCCGGGATTAAACTGACGGGTGGCTTGCTGTCTCTTGGTTGTGTTTTCACTAGCTAGGCACAGGCTGTGCTGAAGGGTGTGCACGGGATGTGCAGAAGCTTCTGCTGAGAACGGAAGATTGCAAACACCTGTTCTTCCAGGATGGCTGCAGCGTTAGCCATGGTTGAGGAGAATATGAGCAGGATACACGGGATGAACATGCAGGCTGGGCTCCCTTTTGTATTTACAGATTAGCAGCAAGGACATCTGATTTTGCTTCAACGCTGGGGACAGTTAAGCCATAAATTGCTTCTTGCATGTCTAGTGACTCTGTGAGTGACAAGATTAAATGCAAAATATTTTGGTCCACTGAAGAAGAGGAAGAAGGCTGCAAGAAAGAGACAAATACCAAGTAAGCTAAGAGATCTCAGACATCTGAGTGAGCGTCCCGCAAATAGACCAAAGAACACACAAGTACAGCCGTGCTACTTTACAAACTCGAACAATGTTGGTAACTTTTTTCCTACTTACAATTCTGCAGGAAAACTGCATCAACTCTACAGTTTACTCCTGGGAAAACACTTGCTGTGCTTCTGGGATAACCTGGGTCCATGGCTCCTCTTCTGTTGTCATACCTGATGAAAACAAAGCATCACGGGATTGCAGCTTTCTTTCAATCTGTGTATGCTGCAATGCACTCACTTACATATTCTCACACCGAGTCTTCACTGTGTCCCACTCACTGAGACTAAGAGTGCCTGACTTCTCTACCTAAGGGTATTTGGTTATAAAACACATGGGAGCCACTGACTCCAGAACAGCATTCTGATTGCTGATTGGGGGTTATTTCTCAAAACTAGAGTCTATATTTTTTAAATATTTTACCTACTAAGTATATTAAGCATAATAATGTGTGTACACATGTGTATATAATGTAAATAAGTGCATTATTTTAGTAATATTTTCTAAGCATGCAAAATAATGGGCCTGATAATGACCCTTTCACATATACACACCACTCACTGTTCATTCGTATTCATATCTCCACTGCCCTCCCTTTAGCCTGTCCTCTTCCCACCTACGAAGCATCCCTCTTCTGTTTACTTGTTTAAATAGCTCCCTCTTGTGCACCATATTCTGCCAATAATGGGAAAACGTTCATGTGAGAACATCAGAACTCAACGCACAAGAAGAATCAAGCCTCTCCTTTCTCTAAATCCCACCATAGAACATTACAAGATTGTGAAGTTTTCATGTCACAGAACCCTCAAAACATCTGTGTAGGCATCTTAATGTGATGAAAAAGAAACATTCAAAACCTGTGGTAACATCATCTTGTGTTAAGACCATATCTTCACTAAGTGTGTCAAAGACCTTGTAGATTAAAATATCTCCAGATGTCCATGCTGGTGGTTTGTACGCAGGGCAGAGAAACACAGATTTCAACTTTAGTGAAAAAACTCGTTCATCTCACCTCCAGCATTGGTTGTTTATGAAGAAGTATGTCTTCCCTTCATAGGAAACAGCTGCATCAATGGCTCGGATACTGCTTGGAAATCCATAGTTGGATATATCCCTGGGGTAACCTTGCTGGATGTCATAGCCACTTATGGCCCAGTACTGTCTGCCTGCCAAAAGGTCAGGAGATATAGTTAACAAAACTCTTTCCACAGTATAATACAAATACCATGTAGAGATCCCCACAGCAATGAAAATGGGACAGAGAGCCTGTGGATACCAAGAGTGTTGGAGAGGAGCTCTGGAGTGTGTGCACAGCCCTAATGGCTCCTCACTGAAACTGTAAACACCAAACATTTCAATCTGTCCTTCAAGGCCCCCAAACCAGAAGTCTTGCCTGGTATGACTTATGTATAGAAACTAAACCACTGCCTTTATTCATCTTAAAAATTTGTACCTAGGATGAAGGCAGGGAAATACTGAAGATGGTCTCATGAGTAGTGTTTGTTGAGGACATTACTAAGACTTAATGGGGGTCTAGCCTGTGCAAATTCTCTCAGTCATTTGTGACCATGGTGGGGCTATGCCTGGACTTCTGCAAGGGTCTGGCTAGAAGGACACTCTTCCTGGCTTATCCTGTCTGAAAACACTGTGGTGGGGCAAAGAGAAGTCTTGCCCTAGCAGTTATGAAGATCAAAAGGAGGAGGAGACAGTCAGATATTACCTTTAAATAGAAAAACCAGGTCTCTGTCAAACTCTTCATAAGCAGCCTGAATGCCACTGGGCAGGAACGGCCAGAACAGAGAGATGAAATTGAGGTCGATTTCTCGCAGCCGAGGATGCCGCCTCCAGAAGTACCTAAAGTAACATAAGGTGGGGTGGGGGCAAGAAGGGGGAGGGAGGAGGGAGAGAGCGTTGCTTTCTGATACCTGATTACAGTGACCCTCACATGGTTTTCGTGGTGTGTGAATGTATAACATATGGCTCCGTCATGATGGAGGTGATATTCATCTGGTCGGCCCTTGACAGATTTTTCTCTTCCTACCATGACAAGCCTAACATGGTTAGGGCCTCTCAGTGTTTAAAAGGTCCAATACTGAAAGAGCCTAACCACAGCAGAAACGCTTGTGGATGCTGGATGGCTTAGCGCCTTCACCCTCTGGATGCTTTGTGATGCCCAGAAGACACTAAGAATTTTAAGGAGATGCCTGTGTATTGGGTCAGAGGAAAGCTGAGTGGCATGTTTCACTAGAACTCAGTTTTAAAGTCTGAGAAAGGGACGTGTGCAAAGAACAGCTCAATTTGTACTTGTCTTTGAAGAAGTAAATCTCCCCACGGAGGGTGGTGACAGCATCAAATCTCAGGCGGGGGTCACAGGCAGTGGGGGTGCTGGACCCAGTAGGTTGGATAGGGCTGTTGGAAAGTCCTGGGAAAGAAAGACATTTAATACATGTGAAACCGTGCTACTTTTGGTGTTTCAAATACTTAGGACGGTAGAGGAAAAAAGCCACTAGCTGATTCTACAAGACACAGCAGACTGTACATGTGACCCTTTCAAAGACTTGGTCTGTTCTCAAGAGTAACCTGGCTTCTACTTAAGCTGAAAAGTCATTGGATTTCTATGCTTCCTTACAGATTCTGAACCACCCTTCTCCTCCCGTTTCCTCTTTCTGTCTTTTTTGACATTGAGAATCCACTTCCTTGTTCCTCACCAAAACTCAAACACAAGGATAGATCTCATATTAGTGTTTTACCCTATAGCATAAATATAACTCATTTTTTGGTATAAAAATTTACATCTTGACTGGACATGGTAGCTGTGGTGGTTTGAATAAAAATAGCCTCCAAAGGGAGTGGTGCTGTTAGGAGGTGTGGCCTTGTTGAAGTAGGTGCTGTCTTGTTGGAGGAAGTGCGTCACTCCAGGAAGGCTCTGAGGTCTCATATGCTCAAGCTGTGCCAAGTGAGACAGACCACTTCCTGATGCCTGCAAGTCAAGATATAGGACACTGGACTGCTTCTCCAGCACCATGTCTGCCTGCGTGCTACCATGCTGTGCCCTGACGATAACGGACTAACCCTTTGAACTGTGACTGAGCCACCACAATTAAATATTCTTCCCTTATAAGAGTTGCCATGGTCATGGTGTCTCTTCACAACAACAGAAACCCTAAAACAGTAGCACAGGCTTTGTAATCCTAGCATTGTGGATACTGAGGCAGGAGGATTGTAGGTTTGAGACTAATCTGGAGACTAATCTGAGACTAATCACTCTGTAGTGAGACAATGTCTTAAAATAACAAATAAATAGACAATAATTTCCATCTTACTGAGTCTTCTCACTGTAGAACTAAGTGTTGTGCACATCACTAAGGAATATTAGAATGCCAAGAGAGCCGACAGCATTGCAAAGGAAGTAACTGCTGCCATGTGTCAGGGGAGTTGGGATTTGAGTGAAGTTCCTTATCCTTAGAAATTCGGCCACGATGAGAAAACTCCTTGACATGATGCCCACACTCTTGATTTATAGGGAAACTCCATCCCAAGAGGCGAGAGCCCGCCTCACCATGCCACTGCCTTCCGTACTGTCAGGGAGCAGGAGGGAGAGAGGGAGGGGATGGATCTTTCTCTGGTCCTCCACCTTCCTCTACCACAAATCACCCTTTACTGGACATTCTTGACAGGCCTTATACATGTCCACTTAGGGGTCTATGTGAGGATTTTGTTAACAGATGGTTCTGGAGGAGAGATGCTGTATGAAAAGGGGTAATCATGTCTTTTCAGAATATATAAAATTGGAAAGCATAAAAGCCGAGAAAGAAAACATTCCTACCATCTAGAGATAATGATGGGAAAGCACTTCTATATCTCCCCAAGGCCTCCCTCCATCCCTTCATCCCCTCTCCTCACTCTTTCCTTCCCTCTCTCCCTCCCTTCTTCTTCCCCAGTCTTTCCTTGAGTCAAAGTAGTTTAAGCTGGCCTCAGATTCCTGAGTGCTAATATGACTGACATGGGCCAACACACCTGTCCTCCAAGCTTTCCTTCAAGGCAGTAATAGACATCTAATAACAAAAATCCAAGCTGCATGGAAGTCATATCAGAGGTTCAGCCCCACAGGACCCTTGCCAACACCGTTACTGGTGACTTTCAGAGATCAGTTTGAGTTTCCCTTGTGCATAGAATCCTGAGATTCCAAAGGCAAAATGCTTGGAAGTTAGACCTGTTAAGAACAATTCCCAAATCCTTCTGTGTCCTGTCATGTTGTCCACCTGACCTTACCGTAGAGAGTCTGAATGCCATTGATATCATCCTGAGGCAGAGAGTAGGTGCTGGGTTCACTGTAGGCATAGTTTGGGTACATCAAGGCACCAGGATCAGTGGAGTGAGAGAGTCCTAGGGAATGGCCAAATTCATGAGCAGCCACGAGAAAAAGGTTGTAATCTGAAATGCAAGAAAATACGGTTAATGCTCCACGGGTCGTGAAAGTATAATCTCAAAGATATATGACCTCGCCACCAGAGCTGCCCAGGAAGGAAACTTTCATGTGTTCATCTTTTTCCTCTCTTCAAGGCAACTAAAGAATGGCAATTAGGACACAGCAGGGTAGGCTCCATGAATTTTTATTAAATCTCTGCGCTGACACAATCTGCCTTTCTTCCAGCTCCCACATTTCATGGATGTGGAAGGTTGGTGGAATCGTGGCAGGGCTGTCAGTCTCAGGATGGTAAGAATTCTGTTTCTCTTGTGCTCAGCGTCCTCTGCCCCCAGGCTCATTGAGTCGAGCTTCCAGAGAGACAGGAAAAAGAGCCTGCCTCTCAGGGCAGTGGCTGGGAGGCAAGGCCGACTTGACCACAGGATCTGGATGCAGCACAGCCCCGCCCTTCTTCTAAGGAGGCTCCTGGAAGGAATATCCTGTTGCGCAGACACACACTGTTGAAGGAGGTCAGGGCATGAAAGAGAAGCTACTAGAAGCAAGACTGGGGCTGCTCTTTGAACAGGCTAACTTTTCAAATGAACCCTGTATTTCAACATTGCCAAAGATGTAAAGACTAGGCTTTTTCAAATATTAAACTCAGAATATTAGAGAAGAAGAGGGAGAGGGAGGGAGAGGGAGGGAGGGAGGGAAGGAGGGAGGGAGGGAGGGAAGAGAGATGGGAAGAGAGAGAGGGAAGGAGGGGGAGAGAGAGGGAAGGAGGGAGAGAGAAACTAAAGTGGTCAGTGGTCAACAAACTTTTCATGCCTTGGGAGCTAAGTAGCCTCTGTCTCAACTACTCAGCTTGGCCATCAGAGTGAAGGCTCCCGAAGATGTGTAAGTAGGTGAGTGTGGCCCCCCTTAGTGCAACACTGCGTGTACAGCCAGGGCCCGGACAGGCCTCGGCGGTGGTTTGCAATATTAGGCTCCCTGCCCACTGATGTTTGAATGCTTCTTTCAGAAATCATGTCTTAAGAAGTGATCCTGATGGGATCAGTCTGGGCTGGTGCTCCCGGAAGAAGGGCTAATGACTTCAGCTTCATTTGCTTATCCTTCGACCACGTGAAGATGCATGAGGAAGAACCGTGGCCCTCCTCTCTCCAGGCCCTTCAACAGTGGGGAGTTAAGGTTCTCTCATTCATCAGCTTGTTAGGTCCATTTATCTTACAACAGTAACACATATGGACTTAGGCACTGTGTGGGAAATAAGGTCAATAATTAGCTTTTGATTTTTTGTTTGTTTTTTTTCTGTGTAGCTCTGGCTGTCCTAGAACTTGTTCTGTAGGCTATAGATCTACCTGCCTTTGTCTCCTGCGTGCTGGGATTAAAGGTGTGCACTGTCACACAGCCCAGCTTACTTCTTTTTAAAACTCAAAGTTGATTTATCTTTATGTAAAAAGAATGTAAATGATTTATTTGTGTGTTTGAAATGTTATAGTAATGTGAACAGATGTGTATTTGTGAACACACACCTTGATTTTCAGGGAAAGGTGTTTGCTCAGAGGTTGCATGTGAACCTTGCCAGGACCACTTACTTCTGGAGTCCTGAGTCCATGTTTCTTCTGAGTCAAAATGAGCATCTCCTCCAATATCCTGACCTGGCTGAAAGGCATGGGCGAGGATCCCATTGGGTCCATCAAATGGAGAATTGTCACCATGCTCTGAAATGAGACGGCTTGTGCTTAAGCCTTTGCCTGTAGTCTCAGGTTAGCTAGGGAAAGCAGATTCCTTTCTGCCTACCTCTTGCGACAAAAGCAATGTTGATGTCTGCTTCTCCCTTTGAGATCTCTGTGAAGGTCAGGGGAGATGCCACACTCCACAACTGAAAGGCTCTCTCGATTGCTGTTTTCACTGCTGACTCTGACAACTGTGGGGTTTGGTTTTTAATCCTGAAAGTAAGAAAGAGCAAGCATGCTTTGTTGTTATGAGCAACACCTTCCAAACACACAGCTGTCATCCATTCTGGAGTGAGTCGCTTTGTCAAAGTGCACCCAACTGGACACAACATCAGTGTCCCCATTCATAAGACAAATATGATCATCAAGATCCCTCACCTAGGCAGCTGAGGGGTTTAAATGCACAGGAAGCACTTAGCTGTTAGCTTGACAAATATTGTTCCACAAATACTATTCTTATTGCTGTTCCCAAGACATACATAAAAGAGCCCAAGTCTCTCCAGCAATCAATAAGCTTCTTTTGGACTTAAAAGTGAGTGGCAAGAGAGATGCTATGCTACCATAGTCTTTTCAGGCCCTGAAGAAAGACAACATGGTAAGCTTTACAATGAGAGACCCAGGTGGTGTGGGAGGTCCTTCTGTCTATGTGTTGCTGTTATCGGTTAATGAATAAAGAATCTGCCTTGGCCTGTTGATAGGGCAGAGTAGAACTAGGTAGGGAAAACTATACCAAATGCTGCGAGAAAGAAGGCAGAGTGAGGAGAAGCCATGTAGCCCCGCCAGAGACAGATACCGGTAAGCCACAGCCATGTGGGGATACACAGATTAGTAGAAATGGGTTAAATTAAGATGTAAGAGCTAGCCAATAAAAAGCTAGAGCTAATGGGCCAAGCAGTGATTTAATTAATACAGTTTCTGTGTGGTTATTTTGGGGATGAGCAGCCGAGAACAAACAAGTGGTCTCCAACAACACCCAGGGTCCTTGCTTTCGCATCCTCATGCTCACTCCCCGGTTCATATTCTCCTCATTCACTATCCACACTCATTCATACTCTGCAAGAGCAGGGTGTTTGTCCATTCATCTCCAGTGGCTCCCAAGTTATGCAGCAATGTCTGAGGCTTCATAGACTCCCATCACTAGCTGGGTGGATGAGTCCTTGGACTCTAGGAATGTTACCTGTAGGTCAGGTTAGTGTGTGCCCACTTAGGGCTTCCTGGGGTTAGCATGAAATCCCCAGAGTCAGGCACTCCACAGCGAGGCTTGCCCATCATCTCCAGAGTAGCTGCATCTGCCTCCCCCGTCTCGTTCAAGCCAAAGAAGCGCTGCATTTCCTTAAGCTTCTCCGCAACCATTGCACTGTTACTCCATGCAGACCGATATTGGTTGCTTGGTAAGTGGTAGAATTTTTGTAGGTAATTCTGATCAAAATAAACACAAGTCTTTGCTGTGAAATTCCCTCTAGTGCTCTGAACATTTTGCAATTCTTTCTAAATCACCATATAGTGCAAAACAGGACCTGACAGAAAAAAGGGCAATAGCAGAAATTGTAAATCAGGCCAGCATGATGGATGGCTCAGTGGGTAAAAGTGCCAATTGCCAAGGCTGGCAAGCCAAGCTCCATCCTCAATTCCCACGTGGCAAAAGGGGAGAGCTGGTTCTTACAAGCTGGGCTTTGACTGCCACATATGTGTTGTGACATGCAATACACTCCACTTAAAAATAAATACATTTAATTAAAATAAAGAAATTTGTAGACTGACTTTGAAAGAACAATGCCTGTAGAATATCTCCTCCATTCATTAATCTAACTACTTTTTATTGTTTATTTGTTTTCTTTTGTTTTGAGACAGGGTATCATTTTGTATCTCTAGCTGTCCTGGAACTCACTCTGTAGACCAGGCTGGCTTTGAAATCACAGAGATCTGCCTGCCTCTGCCTCCTTAGTGCTGGGATTAAAGGCATGTGCCGCCACCACCACCTGGTGAGGCTCTACCTACTTTTTAGCATAAAAATTAAAGGCTTACAACAGAGGAGGAATAAATCTGAATCACACACAAAAAGCTTGTCTTATTGTTAAATAAAAAATTAGTACTGGCTTTTTTGTTTTTACCTCTGTTGAGGTGTTAGTTGAAACAATGAGGATTCTTCTATATAAAACCCCCATTTCACTGATGGAAAGAGGGTTTAATTATCCTCACAGAGAAATAGAGGAACCAAGAAGTAAGAAGCAAACGACATGTCAGGTCCTAGCTTATCATTCAGCAGCATTTCATTTACCAAGATTTTGGGCTGGAAGGGGCTAACTCTCACTCGGAGGTGATGTTTGTGAGGATGTGACATGCCATCAATGGGAAGGTTGTTCAGCTGTTGCATGTAGCCCACATGCTATGCGCCTCGTGTACATGTGACCACCTTGTACTGTGGAGGCAACAGAAGGCAGCGCTCATGGATTTGAGGTAATCCAAGCACTGTCTTTTGTCTCTGACAGGGAAAAAAATTAAGTTTTTCATTATGGGTTATCATGCCAAGCTTAGAGGGCAACTTCTACAGAAAAAACTTAGCCCACTCTGAACATGAATTTAGGGGTTACTGTGCCAGTCACAAAAATTGCCCAGAAGAGAAAGAGCAGGAAAGATGCTTTCCAGAAACTTAAATACCAGGAAGATTATACATCAGAAGTCATGCTCATGTTCCTGTGTACAAAGACAGAAGCAGTCAAACAAACAGAAGAAGTGACTGGCCGCACTATCCTGTGTGCTTCTTCAGTTCCTTATACCCCACCCCATCTATGTCCTATCTTCTACACATGCTAGTATTTTTGACTGCTTTCCATACAGGAACGGTAGGCAGATCAAAATTGGATGTTCCCCATTGTTTTTCATGTGGGGACTCTAGCAAGCATCTACCAGTCTGGCACTGACACAGAGAGCACAGGACAACTGGGTTACAGGGTTACACATTAGGGAAGAATTTCAGTTCATTTTATAAATACAAATATTCTCTGTAGCCAGCCCCTCAGTAATGGACTTGCTTGCTTTCATGTCTAGATTTTCCAGGCCTGGCCTTCTGAGTCCCAAAAGGTGATGCTGAGCAAAGTCATCCAAAACATTTCCTTCTAGTCATTTAGACCCAGAAGGGAAAGCCACCGTCTGAATTCTGGAGCTTTCAGCAAATCACCCATAAATGAGAGTTCATTTACCTCAACAATTTTTGCATTTTTCTCTTCCAGGACTTCAGGTGGTATTGGAAGGGCCTTGGCAAGCTGCGTGTGGAGTAAGAACAGAAACGGAAGTGTCTTCAAGCCAAGCATGGCCCTTTCTTTCGAGACCACCTTGTCTGCTTTCCTCTGCCCGTCTGGCAGGTGCCCTGAAGTTTGCAGCCACCCCTGCCAATCACTGCTCTGGTCTGGTCCCTTATAAAGCCACATCTTGAGCAACTGCTGCCTCCGCAGAGTGAAGCAACACAGTCAACCAGACGAGAACGCTCTTCAATGCTAGAATGTGATTGGAGCATAAGAGCAGGGTGGTCCTTCAGCAGAAGAAAACAGGGCTGCCCGCCGCCAGTAGGAAGAGGAGGCAGCGGCTGGTGTGGAGTTGCCAGGCTTCTGTTTTCCTGCCGTGTGTGATGATGCCATACTAGTTTCATTGGGGAAACCTTTTAAGAATATTCATAGATCATCTTCAGATCAAACTGCACCTGTGAGCCCTGTTTCTAATCCGCCACTGTCACTTGTGTAAGTGCAAGAGTGGCCTGTCACAAAGACCACAAGCAGCTCATGGAAATGGCTCAGTACAGTGTTTGTCATGCAAGCTTGAGGACCTTAATTTTGCTCAGCACACAGGCAGCAACGTTGAGTGTAGCAGTGTGTAAGTGTGATCCCAGTACTTGGCCATGTGTGTGTATGGGGGGAGGGAGTGGAATTTTTGTGGCTTGTTGGCCAGCTGGCCTAGTCTACTTGGTAAGTCCCAGGCTAATGAGAAACCCTGTCACAAAACAAACAAAACTCACATGACAGAATGGTGCTCAAAGTAGTCTTCTGACCTCCATACACATGTGCATGGACACACACACAAAAAGCATTAGCTTTCACACGGAAATGCACACATGCATGTACCTACATAAAGAGCTGCTTCTGTAGAACACGGCTTTGCCAGAGAGGTGCAAAACCCCTCACTGTCTGGGGTTTCCAGAGAAAGGACAAGGATTGGAATACTATTGTACAAACTAATATTTGTGGAATATTTGCAGTGTTCCAGACATGTTCACGGCCCCTAAATTCCCTGTCTATTCTCACACAGCCTTCAGTGCAACATGCTATTATTGTAGTAGAAGCAAAGGTTGGCAGACATAGAGGAGGCACCAGCTCAGTTTGTGGAGGACTCAGTTCCAAGGGTACAGTGAGAGGCATTGCTCTAGTTCCCATCCTATACCAGACTCCAGTTCATCAAACCCCCATCTGAATCCCAGGCTGGAGCACCAGTACCTGTGGGCTCACAGCAAGTAGAAAACTGGCCTAGATTCATGGATGAGACAGGGGAGAGAATGAGATAGATGTTTTACATATTCCCAGAGTGATAGGAGGGTCAGTGGTGACTTCCAAACAGTGTGTCTTCACAGGACACCATCTGCCCTGCCCTCTCTGCACACCTGGCTGTCTACACATGGGTCCTAGGGGTCTAACACATGTCTTCATCTTTGCAGACAGGAAGTACTTCACAGACTGTGTCATCTTCTCATCCTCTAAACTGAACTTTAAGAGAATTTAAAATGGTTTACAGAGATGTTTAGATCATAAGTGCTTAGTAACATTTTCAGTCTGTGTTGAACATAGCAAAGGAGAACCAGAGGCTCCATTTGGAAGTCTGAGCTCACAGAAAGCATCTGGCCTTGTGTTTGTCTACTGCCTTCTGTTCCATTCCAAATGGACGCCATTGTTTCCTTGTTCGTCTATATGACACAGTTCCAGAGCTGGGACTCAGGTAAAGGTTTATTACCTGAGTATCTCCACAGGGCACCCAGGGGAACACCTTTATTTCTTTTTCTTTCTTAACATATATTTTATTTGATTTTTGCAACCTGACCTCTGTTTCCCCTCCTTCCTCCCCTTCCAGTCCCCCACATCTCCTGTTTGCTCCTCCTCCATCCTCTCTTCCCCTATTTCTGTTCAGAGGACAGGCTGTCCTGTGTCCTTGCAAGTATTTTATGTTCTGGCTGTTGGTGACCCCTACTGGCCACAGGGAATATCATTACCCTTACCTTTTCCCCTTCATCCCCCTTCTTTCTCTTGTGTCCTCTTCTCTTACAACTCCTCTTTCTCTTTCTGTTTGTGTGATCTTCTCTCTCCCTTTCTCTTCTTTATCGACTTGTCATGAAGATGTAGACAAAGGGACGCACGGACAGAGGAGGAGGAGAAGGCACATGGCTCGCTCAGGCTCATGGCTCCTCCTCCTCCTCCTTCTTCCCCTTCCTCCCTTCTTCCCTCCCTCCCTCAAACTCACAATGATCCGCCTGCCTCTGCCTCCCAAGTGCAGGAATTAAAGGCGTGCACCACCACTGCCTGGCCATCTTCTGTTTAATACTTAGATGCATAGACAGAAACGCTAACAGATTGTGTGAGGAAACTCAGCAAACCTTGTCTCTCTAGACTCCTCTTGTCCCCAATGTGTTATTGCAGAATATGTGTTCACACTGTGAGAAGATGTGCCACTGTGATTGGTTTAATAAAGAACTGAATGGCTAGTAGCTAGACAGGATAGAATAGGTGGGATTCTCAGAGAAAGAGAGAACTCTGGGAAGAAGAGAAGCAGGGAGACACCAGAGAGACGTGGACCAATTTGGACATAAAGAATGATGGAGAGGTTAAAAGAAAAGCCATGTGGCAAAATGTAGATTTAAAAAATATAGGTTAATTAAGTTATAAGAGCTGGTAGGAAACAGCCTAACTAATTAATAAGAAGGCTCCATGCTGTTATTTGTGGGCTGCCAGTCCTGATGAGAAGTTACAACCACAATGTGTAGCACATGCCTTTGGATTAGGGTGCAGGACTTCTCAGGAATAGAAAGTCTTTACAGAGAATTTCTGTACAGCAAGCTCCAAGATGAAAGGTAGAAGAAGAGTGGAGTTTCTATGACCTATCTTGGGAAAAAGAAATTCTAGTTTCCATAAACTTTCATGGGCAGAAATGAGCCAGGCAATGTGATCTCTCTCTCTCTCTCTCTCTCTCTCTCTCTCTCTCTCTCTCTCTCTCTCTCTCTCTCTCTCGCCTTGTTTTTTGCCAGCCTTGGAAACAATGAATGTCTTCCAGAGGCCCTAATTTAATATAGAATTAGAAGACTATTTCTGTACTTCTGGTAGAAAGCATAGAGACACATTGTGTTTTTCTTTCAGTACTGGCTTCAGTATACACAGACATTTAGAGAGAGACTGCTCGAGGTTGTTTGCTTGCTTTTGGAGCTGTCATTTAGCACAGTGATGAGCAGACATACATAGCTGATAATATTTCCTATTTCTCAGTGGAAAACATGGCTTGTCATGGTTTATAGGACAATCATGAGGAAAAGCACACACATCTTGGGTTTGCTTTACAAACTACATACACGCATGGAGAAATGAGAGGTACCTCTTACATGGTGGGAACCGTAACAGGTCTACACCATTTAACCAATTTTGCCCTTCTGCTCTTAGTCTAATTTATTTTTTAAAAAAATGTGCATCTTTGATACCTTCAGAACAACGCTTGCTCAGCTAAGCTTGGGTCGCAGCCTGCCCACCTTGCATTCGCTCTAACTTCAGTCCCTAAGATGCTGCTATGTGTTAACTTCTGTCATGGAACACTCGCCGGCTATTTTATGAATCATCTAAGATTCCATTCCCATTCTGTGAGTCTCCTCACCCTCATGTGCCACTGTCCTTGTGGCTATTAAGCTGCTAACTGGGGACTCTAACCTCTCTCTGTAGGAGGGTCTGGCACGTGCAAACCCCCATTCCCGTTACCTAGTCACCCCGACCTCCTCCAGCAGAAATCCTACCAAGTTTCTTCAGAAGCACAGTATGAAATTTCGCCAGAAACCTGGTTTCCCACACAGTGACAGCCACAGGGCTTCTTGGTTGTAACTCTCCTATCCCAGCATTTGGTGTTCACAGTGAAGTTCAAGCCAGGGCTACAATTACATTACTTCTTTTTTCTGTTGAAATACTTCTTCAATAAAGATTGTTTTTTACTAACTACTGTCCGACTCTGGTCCTTGCCTGCCCCTCGTGTTTTTAGTTGATACACAATGTTGGATCTCACTGAGATACTCTCATCCTCTGCTCCTCACCACCCTCTGCTGGTTCTCTTTAACAAATAGGCGGTGGCTTCTGCCAATGCCCATAATCCACAGGGGGTTGGAGATGGTTGGGCTGCTGGCGTCTAGGATTCCAGAATCCTACTACTGTTGGTGCCAATGAGTTCCCACGGGCGTAAACTGTCACAGCCCAACCTAGACAGACCCAAGGGACTGCGTTTCTGGGTCCTCTACCTTTCAGCTATAGTTTAACCCGCACTGTCCTCTCTTTTTACTGTTGATATTTTTCTCACAAATTCATCTAGAAGGCTATTTTTGTACTTCACTTATATGATCCAATTCTCACTTAGGGTGCCCACGTGACACCCAGGAGGCCAGTTTCTCAGCATTGGGATAAAAGAGGCAGCAGCACAGACAGTTATGTTGCGGCTACTCCACTCTCTCTGGCGCTGTCCTCTGTCTGTGCTCCGCCCGCTCTGGCGCTGTCCTCCACTCGTGCTCCGCCTGCTTGGGGCTGTCCTCCGTCAGTGCTCCACTCGCTCCGGCGCTGTCCTCTGTCCATGCTCCACTCTCTCTGGCGCTGTCCTCTGTCCGTGCTCTGCCCACACTGGCGCTGTCCTCCGGCTGTACGTTTGTTTCTTACTGAGTTGTGATGAAATACTGGATCAAACCATGAGGGAAGGAAGTGTTGTTTTGACTGACAGCTCCAGCAATACACGCAGCAGGAGCTGGAGGAGGCTGGTCACATTACCTCCACAGCCAGGAAGAGGGAGCTATGGATCAACGCTTGTGCTCACTTCCTCTTTTTTATTCAGCCCAAGATCCCAGCTGGTCCCATCGTTATCTATATCAAGGTAAGTTTTCCAACCTCACATAAGCCAATCTAATGCCCCCACAGAGCATTGTTTCTGAAGTGATGCTAACCACACAACGTGACAGCCAGCACTAACCACCACACCTGGTAGCTCTGTTTCTTCATCGCATGCTAATCTGTTTTCAGTGGGATAGGCCTCTCTGCCCACCCTGGTGCTCTCTGTCCCCTTTAATCCTGCACTTCACTGCAGGGGATTTCAAACCCC